ACACCTGGACTTCATGGTGCTGATGATCATGTTATAGAAGAGACGAAAAATGTATGTGGTGCTCACTGTCTCACCTCTGGCCACTGTGAGCATACAAAACAGGATTGCATCCAAAATCACTCATAAAATAGTCAATCAAAAAGCAGCCATGATCCCTGAGATTCCTCTACAGAGAAAGACCAAATTGTTGGCCACAGTCAGATGACTAAAAATGAGAACTGTGTACTGGGTACTGCACCCACTAAAATAAAGGAAGATAAAGTCATGTAAGATAAATTCTCTAGATTGAAATATCAGAAAAGAAATATTATTCCAAATACTTTAAATGCACAGAAATCATACTATTCTAACACTGAAAATACACACTCATAATTAGATTCTAGTGGATGCATATGTTGTACTATAAGTACTTCAAAGGAAATTAAATTAAAACTTCTTTATATACCTAAACTCTCTATTAAGAGATTGCCATATCTCATGTTTCTTTATATAGTACTTACCATATGCATCACACACTTATTATTGCTTTACTTATTGTAATTATTTTCATATCTATGGCATTACATGGTAGGATCTAATAACAGTTTGCTTTTACAAAGCAAACAATACTGAGTTCCTGATTTAATCCTCTGGCATTCTGAATTATTTATCTGTCTTTGTACTTAAGGCTCTTACTTTAAGCTTAGAATTCTGAATCTCTCTAATCTTAATTAAGTAATCAGAATGCTGCATGTATAGCCAATAAATGGCCTCAAACTCTCTAGTTAAACTTTTTTTCACCAAAATAAATAATTCTACAATTCTCATCAGAACTTTTAAAGTATCATGTGAACTCACAGGGGGTGAGTACAACAGTGAGAATGTTGCAGCCCAAGTGCACGCAGAAAGAAGAATGCCTTAGATACATTTGTAGAAGGGAATGAAGATAAAAAGATAGCAAAAAAATCAACACTGGAGATAATTATGAAATGAAAGAAGCAGAATTCCCACTTATAAATTCTGAGAGTTGTTTGTTCTGCAGGTCCCCTCACTCCACATGCAAATCAGTGACATTTTTCACCCTGGACATTTCAATCTCTTTCCAGGAGCCACAATTAAATTTTATAAAAATCATTCTTATAATTGCAGCGTATGTCACATATACAATACATAACAAACTTTGAAATAATGAAATAATATAATAGGCCTAGCATGAGTAATAAGCATGTGAGAACAGAGGATTGGCATGGTCAGGTTGTGAACTACAAACTTTACAATTTTAAACAAATTAATTCAACGTAAAGCAAAAAAAAATTGCTTTCAGAATCTATGGAGTTTCTAGTTTGCTAGTAAATTCTGAACAATTATGAAATTACCTATTTTTTTCAATATTTCTTCTTTTCTTTTCAAAATAAGTACACATCCATGTTCATACAAAAATACTTACTCTGTAAATGTACTACAACTAAAGTTCATCTTATAGGTGCTGTATTTGTATATTTGATTTATTATAAATAAAAAAATGTGTTTATTTCTATTTCACTGGCCAGATGGGTTGCATATTAAAAGAAAAATGTAGCATAAAATGTAACAAGTACTCATTCAGTGTTCAGAAATGTATGGCTTTTCATTAAGTGGACAAACTTTATTAGAAGCATTACAGTTACAATGGAATTATAAAAATAATAAAAAGTAAAACTTTTGGGAACATCATTCTTCAAAGAATTAGAAATTTGAAGTCACTGAAAAAAGGATCATAAATGATTTAATTTTACTGTGTAACCCAATAGTACATTTTTACAATCCATTGCCTCCAACTTTGAGTAACATGGAATAGGTTAATGTTGGTAGCAAAATAACAGTTCATTCAAT